GTCTACATATCTGAAAAAAGTCTGTATTTCTGAAACGGTCTATAAATCTGAAAAAGTCAGTATTTCAGAAACGGTCTATATATCTGAAAAGGTCTGTATTTTTAAACCGGTGTATATATCTGAAAAAGTCTGTATTTCTGAAAAGATCTATATATCTGAAAAGGTCTGTATTTTTAAACCGGTCTATAAATCTGAAAAAGTCTGTATTTTTGAAACGGTCTATATATCTGAAAAAGTCTGTATTTCTGAAACGGTCTATAAATCTGAAAAATCTGTATTTCTGAAACGGTCAATAAATCTGTAAAAGTCTTTACTTCTGATGCAAAGTTTTCAACAAATAAAAATAGGAAAAGTCCGTCATACTTGATAAGTCAAAGGTTTAAAGGGTACCGTTGTTAATCAGGGATGTCCCTCTCTAAATAGAAGGTCAATTGAATTACTCTTACAGTCCCTTCAAGAGAGGATGCAAGAATGGAAAGATGAATAGATGAATAGATAAATAGATAAATAGGTGAATAGATGAATAAATGAATAGGTGAATAGACGAATAGATGAGAGGATGAAAGGATGAAAGAATGAATGAATGAATGAATAAGTGGCTGTTTGACGACGGATATATAGGTTTCCGATAACAAACTCAACTTTACCCAGCTCTCCTCTTTATTATGAGTAACTGGACTTCCAATAATGCATCTTTATTCATCTATTCATCTATTCATCTATTCATCAGTTCACCTATTCACCTATTCATTCACCTATTCATCAATCTATCTATTCACCTATTCATCTATTATATGTAAAATATCTACAAAGATATGTACAATATCCTACAAAGATATTTACAATATCTACAAAGATATGTTCAATATCTACAAAGGTATGTACAATATCTACAAAGATATGTACAATATCTACAAAGATATGTACAATATCTACAAAGATATGTACAATATCTACAAAGATATGTACAATATCAACAAAGATATGTACAATATCTTCAAAGATATGTACAATATCTTCAAAGATATGTACAATATCTACAAAGATGTGTACAATATCAACAAAGATATGTACAATATCTTCAAAGATATGTACAATATCTTCAAAGAGATGTACAATATCTACAAAGATATGTACAATATCAACGAGGATATGAAAAATTTGCGTATGTACAAGTAAAATATTTCCATTAATACGTGTTGATGTATTGCAGCTGTGTGAAAACGATCTTTAATTTTACACTCGGTCAGATATATTTCAAATCAAACTTTAAATTCAAATTCAAGAATTCAGAAATTTCAAATGGAAGATATAAACCAACATCATTTTCCTTAATCTAAAGGCCGGATCTTTAAATAAAAAAAATCTTGAGCCTTTTTGCAACAAACGCAAAGTTTCCAATCCTAATATCTTCGCAACTGAGGGTGTAAACCTTTGTAACTTCAATTATATTATATAAAATGATTCCTTTGTTTGAAATATTTAAGGTTTACGACAATGGGTCGCAAAGTTTTAATTGTAAAGTCTCAATTCCTTTAAAGAAAAAGACAACATGAAGGTCTAAACCTTAAACTTTGGGAGACCTACATACAGGTTTTGACATTTGTGAAAACATAGCAATTAGTCATCTTTTATGTTTACTTTGAGTGCATTGCCGGCTCTTCTCTAAAGAAGCTCAAATTTGTAGTAAGCAACATTTTTCTCCTCTCATGTTGGTGAGTCTTAGCTCCAGCTATAAGTTTCAATTAACCTCAAAACTCCATTTAAAAATATATAATTTGTTTTCTGCAAGCTTGAATGTAAATAAATCTAAAGGAAGTTTTAGAACCAGCACGGTTTAACAATTTCTTTCCATTGGTTAAAAAGGTTTTCACATTTGCGCCATAAAACAATTTTATATAAGCAAATGTCCACTTCAAAGATGAAATAAAAAAGCTCGACAACACTTGGAAAAGTAAAATCCCGGTAATGTTGGCAGTTCTCCCTGGTAAATCCGTGTTAATTGTAAATAAATAGTTATTCTTACTTTTTCAGGAAAGAATTTAAATAAAGGTTTTTGTTTAAAAAAGACCCTGCACAAAGTGATACAGTGCTCCCTAAGAAGAAAGAGACTTTAAAGACGAGCATAAAATCCTAAAATATCATAAAACTATGTGTGTTGAAATTTTGATTTCTTCGACTAATCTATTAAACGTTTTTTTCAAAGATTTTGTAAAGAATTTTAGGATTAGAAAATCAGTGAATTTGAGTTCCATGTCAACATGTTTACATTTTTATTTTTGATATCGCTCATGCATGTTAAACTTAAAATAAGATCAGTTGTACTTTTATGAAGAAAAAATAAAAAGTTTCAAAAATATTAAAAATGATGAATCAAAAAGGTTATCGCTTAATGGTCCAGAAATAGTTAAATAACTGATGCACTGATGCAACCCCCTCAAACACTCCATCTCCATTAATATTGGAGTTCAGGGTGTCTCAAACTATATTGGAGTTCAGGGTGTCTCAAACTATATTGGAGTTCAGGATGTCTCAAACTATATTGGAGTTCTGGGTGTCTCAAACTATATTGGAATTCCGTGACAAATTTTGATCAGCGAAAAACATATTTGATCTTATTTAAACTTATAATTTCTTGATTAATTTTGAAGATAACGAAATTAGACCACATTTTGGAATTCTCCAAACCACCCGTTGATACACTCTATAATGCTATCTTTTTTTACCTATTTTTTTACTATCCAATATGTATTCCGGGTTGGATGGTAGGAGTAAGGATGCATTTACTCTGGGTTAAATCAAGGGAGTAAGGATGAATTTACTCCGGGTTGAATGGTGGGAGTAAGGATGAATTTACTCCGGGTTGAATGGTGGGAGTAAGGATGAATTTACTCTAGTTTGAATGGTGGGAGTAAGGATGAATTTACTCCGGGTTGAATGGTGGGAGTAAGGATGAATTTTGAATGGTGGGAGTAAGGATGAATTTACTCCGGGTTGAATGGTGGGAGTAAGGATGAATTTACTCAGTGTTGAATGGTGGGAGTAGGGATAAATTTACTTCGGGTTGAATGATGGGAGTAAGGATGAATTTACTCCGGGTTGAATGATGGGAGTAAGGATGAATTTACTCAGTGTTGAATGGTGGGAGTAGGGATGAATTTACTCCGGGTACAATGATGGGAGTAAGGATGAATTTGCTATTGGTTGAATGAAGGGAGTAAGGATGAATTTAATCCACGTTGAATGGTGGGCGTAAGGATGAATTTACTCCGGGTTGAATGGTGGGAGTAAGGATGAATTTACTCCGGGTTGAATGGTATCCAAACCCGGCACTGGTCGGGAGGAATATCTTTATGAATGGTCTGAGAGATGTTTAGATGAAGAGGGGAGTCAGTTGTAGACCATTCCTACTCCGATACACACCTACACTACTAGATCTAACCATAACCATCTTATCCATTCATTCAACTCTTGAAATATTCTGCAAATGATTTATATTTGCTACGTTAATTGTTAAAAAAACATTAATTTTTTACAGAAAATATTTAGATTTTATCCATATAACTTTTTTTTCAGTTCCGCGAAATTACTTCACTTTTTAAAAACCTTTTTAAGGTTAATTTTTTTACATCAAGACTTATTTTAGTTTTAAATTCATTATTTGTGTCATATTTACATTTTCCGGTTAAACTTTTTTTTTCTAAATTAAATGTTTAATAAATTGTTTTATTTTCATGTAAAGAAATTGCTTGTTACCCTTTCCCCAGAAATTTTTTTTATTTTCCCCGAATTTAAAAATTTAAAATTCATCCTAAAAAACACCACTCCCCTGTATTTAAAAATCTTAATATCAACACCATAACATATATAGTTGCAATAATAAATAATATAAACTTAGAAAAATAATAAATGTATCTTGAGAAATATGAATAATAAGATCATTAACGTTGTATTTAAAAATCTTAATATCAACACCATAACATATATGGTTGCTATGATAAATAATAAACAAAATCCTTTTAACGTATAAATTTAAAAGTGAAGTAATCTGTTTCCAGTAAATTTCGTGGATTTTATTGAAAATATTAGATTGTCCCTTCTGTTAACAAAAATATAGAATTTATAAATTCAAGAAATTCAAGATTTATGGCAAAAACTCTGTTGAACAAACTATTTCTTTTACTTTTAAAACAAGCCAATAAATTTCACACAAAAGTTATAGAATAACTTGTATAGCTAACGGCAAAATGGGCTTTTTAACAAGATTTTTTTAATAGCTTGAAATGATTAAGAAGACAAAAAAACTTTGTCCGAACCTCTTCTCTTAGTTTCTATATCTTTCAAAACTTATTTCAAACTCAAAAAAATGTTTTACAGATCTGTTGTTAAAACCTTAACTGCTCAATATTCACTGCAAGCTATAGACCAGAGGGATCGAAGGCTCAATTTTTTCGACATTTTTGGTTTTATTTTACACCCTTGTTTCTCCTGTAGTTTTGATTTGACGCAGAGGAGTAGTATTATGACTAATGAGACAATCAATTTTATCTGGTTATATATTAGGAATACAATACATTTTTTCTCAATAACTGCTTTAGAAAAGAACGATTGAAAACACAAGATATTTCAATAAAATGTGGAATTTAAGATTATACAGATTTTTCACAGTAATTTTTTTTGCAGAAAAAGGCCGGTTTATTTTTTATTCTTATTTTTGCATGTAAAAAGATACATTTATATTAATAACATTTTTGAGGCAAAACATGAGATTTTTAAAAATTTTGTTTCATAGACTTTCTTATTTGTGTTTGGTATTGAAAAATAAACACCACATTTATAATATTATGATTATTACCATTATTATTATCATCATAGTTTTTACTATTATTATAATTATTATTATCATTATGATAACTTTTGATAATGTTATAATTATTTTTATTATTATTATTACCAGCATAATTTTTACCTTTTTCATAGTAATTATTATTATTATTTGTATTATCATTAAGTTATCGATAATTTCAGAATCTAATTCGGGAACTCGGGATGTTATTATGTGACTTATAAACAGCTTTCAACTGTTCCAATCCAGAGGCTTTCAGGTATTGTTTACACCCCCCTCTCAACCTCCCCTTTAGGTACACCCCCCCTCTCAACCCCCTTTTAGGCCCTCAATCCTCCCCCCCATCCATAAAATAATCATCATCATTTTGAAATCCTTCTACCCAATTGTGAAATAGACAAAACTATACAAAACTAGACAAAACTTGACAAAAATAGACAAAACTAGACAAAACTAGACAAAACTTGACAAAAATAGACAAAACTAGACAAAACTAGTCAAAACAAGACAAAACAAGACAATACTAGTCAAAACTAGTCAAAACTAGACAAAACAAGAAAAACCTAGACTAAACTAGACAAAACAAGACAAAACTAGACAAAACTAGACAAAACTAGTCAAAAAAAAGACAAAATTGACAAAACGGATCAAGAAAAAAACCTATAGTTAAAGAAAACTAGATAATGCTATCTGAAACGAATTAAATGAATTCTTAAAACTAAGACTCAATTATTAAAAGAAGGAGGAGGGGGGGGGGGGTCAATGATTCAAGGAAACAAAGGAAAACAAATCTCATTGTATTAAAAACAAACAAAAATTTAATTTAGTGTCGTTTGCAACTATTTCTTTTTTTTCTATTGTCGAACTATAGAGATAGATAGATAGATAGTATCTGGATCTATTATCTGCGAACAAGACAAAAACTTGAAGATTCCTCCCCCACCAAAACTTCTTTTCTTTTCTTTAATCAATTCTTATTTTAAAAGTTTATAAGAGGTAGAAATCTGTCGTGGGCGGGAAAGGGATAAAAAAGGTAAGGAGGGATGAATAAAGGTTAGGAGGGATGAAAAAAAGTTAGGAGGGATGAATAAAGGATATACCTATTCTATCAATAACTCAATTTGATGAGAATATTGGGACGAAATATCGAAATTTTAAATTGTTATTCCAAGATACCTGAAACCTAGTTAAGCATGAATGGGTATAAATGAAGGGAATAAGGATGAATGAATGAATGAAGATGAATGAAGGGAAATTTAGAATGACTGATTGAATGGGTATGAATGAAGGGAATAAGGATGACTAAATGAATGGGTATAAATGAAGGGAATTGGGATGACTGAATGAATGGGTATGAATGAAGGGAATTAGGATGACTGGATGAATGGGTATGATTGAAGGAAATTAGGAACTGAATAAATGAGGATGAATGAAGAGAAATAAGGTTGATTGAATGAATGGGTATAAATGAAGGGAATAAGGATGACTGAATGAATGGGTATGAATGAAGGGAATTAGGATTCGACTGAATGAATGGTTATGAATGAGGGAAATTAGGATGACTGAATGAATGGGTATGAATAAAGAGAATTAGGATGACTGAATGAATGGGTATGAATAAGGGGAATTAGAATGACTGATTGAATGAAGATGAATGAAGGGAATAAGGATGACTGAATGAATGGGTATGAATAAAGAGAATTAGGATGACTGAATGAATGGGTATGAATAAGGGGAATTAGAATGACTGATTGAATGAAGATGAATGAAGGGAATAAGGATGACTGAATGAATGGGTATGAATAAAGAGAATTAGGATGACTGAATGAATGGGTATGAATAAGGGGAATTAGAATGACTGATTGAATGGGTATGAATGAAGGGAATAAGGATGACTAAATGAATGGGTATAAATGAAGGGAATTGGGATGACTGAATGAATGGGTATGAATGAAGGGAATAAGGATGACTGAATGAATGGGTATGAATGAAGGGAATTAGGATTCGACTGAATGAATGGTTATGAATGAGGGAAATTAGGATGACTGAATGAATGGGTATGAATAAAGAGAATTAGGATGACTGAATGAATGGGTATGAATAAAGAGAATAAGGATGGCTGATTGAATGAATGAAAAAATGCCGGAAAGAATCAATAATGCAATATAAATGATTAAGTTATTAAATGAATAAATTAGGAATTATTGAATTAGAATGAATGGGTTATGATTGAATTAATTATGAATGAATGAACTATGATTGAAGGAATTATGAATTTATGATTTATTGAATTATTAGTGAATGAATTATGAATAAATAAATTATAAATGAATGAATTTTGAATAAATTAATTATGAAAGGATGGATTATGAATGAATCATGGAAATGATTAACGAATTATAAATGAATGAGTGAATTATGATTGAATAAATGAAATATGAACATTTAATTTTTTTAAATTAGAAAATTATAAATTTTGAAAATGAATTTAGAAAAGAAGAAATAAATGCATTATGAATAGTAAATAAATGTATGGAAGGATATCAATGATTTAGTGAATTGAATAAAATAATGAATTAAGACAGGTTGAATGAATCATGAATGCATTTATGAATATATGGAATATGGTTGGGTGAATAGCAAACTAATTAATAAATTTTGAACAGTTGAGTGAATTATGAATGATGAATTAATCAATTTATAGTAAAAAAATGTTAGGACGGACGAATAATGAATGAATTAATCAATTCTGAGCGATTGAATAAATTAGAAATGAATTGATGAAAAGTGAATAAATGAATGGAATAATAAATTATATACTAAATAAGGATTTAAGGATTAATGAATCATGAATGAATGTATTAGAAGTAAATGGATTATAAAAAAATATCAAACTTTTGTTAAAAATCAGCGACTGTCTGTACTTCTAGTCTGTACAAAATACAAATAATGAATTAAAGAACGAAAAAAAAGAAATAAAATAGATTTTCCAGAAACTTCTTCTCTCGACCATGTTGACATGACATGTAATAGTTTCCAGTCCAATTTCCCGGATTTTCAAATATCTCGAGTTTTGTGGATTTTTTATTCTTGAAGAAAATCTAATCTTTTGATCTCTGAGTTTGCATTTCATCATTCATTTTCGACATTTCTTACAGCAAAACTGTTTTCATGTTGAAAACTATAATTTTTGTATAAAAGATTTAAATTGAATTAAATTACGCATTTAATAATCTTCGCCTCAAGGCACAATTTTACTCTTGCTGTCAAATTAGCATATATTATCCATAAAAACCTATTCTATACCGTACTCAAAATTCAGGGATGACTACTGTCACTTTTATGTTAAACTTAAAAAATTAAACAAAGAAATGAATGCAGAAAAAGAAAAATATGCTTTTAAAATTTACTAGAAAATCTTATGTTGTGTCATCCCTGAATGCATTCATTCTTTCTTTCATTCATTCATTCTTTCATCTTAAATCATTCATCCCAAGACTTGAATTATTTATTAGTTGTTATAAACTTTTAGCTAATCATCATTTCAAATATTCTTAAGACAAATAAGCGTTCATTTTGTTGCCGTAATCCCTACACCCAATACACCCTCACTCACCCTGGATTAACCAGGGTGAGATGAATTCGGTTTCTTTTTTTAGAATTCAAGCATTTGTTTGTCTATAATTCAACAATTTCTCAACTTTTTTGTTTTGTTTATAAAGCATGCCGACAAAAAAAATATAAAAGAGAAACGACAAAAAAATATGTTTAATTGGTCAAATTGGGAAGTTCTTCATGTTAAAAAACGAACCGTTAAATCTGAAGTCGTTGGTGCCTGAAAAACCTGTGAAATCCTTAGATTTCACTGGTCCAGGGGGGGGCTGAGCCCCCATATCCCCTCCTTCTGAGTGTACGCCTCTGACTGCAGTCTTCATCCTCACCACGTACTGCAGTAATTCTACACAGTACACAATCGGCCCAAATTAAAAATTTTACATCCCCCAAGGTTGTATAACAAAGTTAGTTACTTTCGACGTGCTTCAATGTACGGAAAATGTCGTCTCCTAAGATAGATAGATAATTACCCAATATGACATCAATGATTATAGAGGCAAGATGGACGTCATATTAGGTATTTATTGTTAACTAATTGTTCAAAATTTCAAATTCAGTGTACATTTGACAACAGAAATAGTGTACACTGTGCATTGTACGCTGTACACTGTATGCTGTATACTGTATGCTGTACACTGTACACTGTACACTGTACACTGTACACATCCTTCTTATCCTTCCCATCCTTCCCATCCTTCCCACCCGTCCCATCCTTCCCATCCTTCCCATCCTTCCCATCCTTCCCATCCTTCCCATCCTTCCCATCCTTCCCACCTTCCAGTTAAAATTCTTCTAAAATAAAATTTTTATTTGCATATAAATCTAGATATATCTATAAACTTCAATTCATATCAAAATTCAATTTGTAATATTCCTTGTTAAATTTAGTTTACCAAAACTATTACGTTTTAAAAATAGAATTTGTTCCCTCAGTTAATTTATTTATTTATTTTTAGAATTCTGCTTTCAAATACCCTGTCAACATTGTACAATTAGGTAATAGATAGAATTAAACATTAAATTGTAAAGGAATACCTTCACCTCAAACTATGATTTTAGAATCCGCATATCTTTGCAACCTGATGTCGTTGACTTTTGATATTTCAAACTTTGAATTCTGTTAGAATTGATAGTAATAGTTTGATCTGTAAAAAGTTGCCACCATCATGCAGGTTTTAAAAATATAAATTAAGTTCGAGGCGAGTATTGTTATGCTTCTTATAATTCGTTGTAAAGACTCTACTAAAAACAAAGAGTAAGTTTATAAAACCAAAAAGTTTCATTTGATATGATAATTGAGTAAAGATATCAGGATAGTAGTGGACCTTAAATAATTTTCCAAAAAAAAATGTCTTACGCTGGAAGCTTTCTAAAATGTGTTCTGCTTACTTTTTAAAAAGGCAAAGACGTGTTGGTTTATTTTAGTAACATATTTTTTCTTCCGCACTGTTAAAAATTTTTGAAACATAAGGTTAAAGGGAAAAAATACATTTTGCCTGTAAGGAACTGACAGATTAAATAAAATAATATTTCTTTTTCAGATTTCGCGGCTTTCAGTTTATATATTTCAAAGAAAAGAGACATATTATAATACAAAAAAACAGACATGAAAGCTCTAACATTCTGTCATGTACTGTACGTACTACAATCTCTGTATATGGTGAATTGTTACAAAGTACGACCATCTCTGTATGACCCTGTGGAGCTAGTACATTTTCAACTACTGGATGGTAGTGAGAACGTAAACAGAAATAGATACGATGTCATCCCGCCCTACACACTCTCCCCATCTCGTCCCGCCCTCCCGTTACTCAGCAGGGGAGAACGGGAAACCGGCTTTGACGAATACCTGGACGGTACGGCGGAACCATCCTGTCGTGAGCTGAGAAAAATGTGGCGGTTAGCCCGGAAAATCCATAATAAGGTATATATATATACATTATACATAAAATTAACCTCACTGAACTGGGATGATATGTTTGGTGTACTGTCCAAATACTTTTTTTAAATCCTTACATCTTTGCAACCTGATGTCGTGGACCTTTAATAATTCTTACTAAGAATTTGACCAGATTATGTCGAAATATGGAAGGTTGGTTGCAAAGATATAGTGATTAGCAAATTAGAGTTTGTTTAGCACTCTGAAATCTAATACTTAAATGCTGTAAAAGATGGGGGGGGGAATTTTTGGAAACCTCTTTGTAGGATTGTTTTTATGGGATGTTAACATTTTTTTGTAGAATTCATTGAAACAGTAAAATTTTTGCTTGTGCAAATCATGATGAATTTTACATTTTTGAAAAGCCCTTGACCACATCAACATCTCAAAAAGGCAATTTTTTAAGGCAAATGGTAGGAGATTATATCAATACAATGAAGACAACTTTCGATTTCAATTTTAATTATATCAATTTGTTGAACAGTATGTATATTGTATAAATAAAATTAAAAGTCAAGAGAAGCTTCATCGCTTTCATTGTAGCGATATAATCGCCTACCACTGTATTGTTAATCTTTTATTTTTATACTTTTATAATGCAATATGTTTATTTTCTGTCTACTCCAGGCAATTGAAACAAATGAGATCCCACGAAAAGTTCATTCATTCGCAGATTTCGAAGCTGACAGATTTAGAAATGCCAGGTAAGAATATTAAAACGACGCAAAAATATAAATGCCCGATTTAAAACGGTATCCTTAAAACCTTAATCAGATCAAAGATAAAATCGGCTTTCTTAATAAAAAATTGTTTATTTTTCTCCATTGTTTTTTTTTCTTCATTGTTTCTTGTAAGCAAGAAATGCGCAAGTCACTTTTGCTGAGAAACCACAAATGAAAATGAGCAATTTAAAAACAAAAGCACACTTACCAAATTCATGCTTGATCGCGGCGAACCATAAGGGAGGATTAATTAAAATACATTTCAATCTAGGTCTGTCCTGACGTGTTTTCGACCACCTTTTCATTCTTAAACTTTCCCTTTAAAAGTTTCCAATTCTTAAATAAAAGTTTTTCAGGAGTTAATTTTCTTTTAACAAGTTTAAGTATAGAATAATCTCCTGGAAAGTTAAACATTTGATTTATTGAGTTCAAAGCTGGATTAATTCTTCTAAAAAGCTTGCAGAGACTTTGCCCCCCCCCCCCCCCCTAACACACCTACACACAGACTTATTTTCAAACTTTTCAATCTTAATTTCCTATTTCCTGAAAAAACATCTCCGGGTTTTAGATATGTCTCTTTGCCCCCTCCTCCAACTCCAAACTATCCTGTTGCACCCATGCCCCCGCCTTCACCTTCTTATTTGTACGATCTATAATGTATATATATTTTATACTTGTTATGTATATTTGTTTGTCTAGGGCTTTATGACGTCCAAACCTGTCAAGTTTTCTGTTTTTCGTTTTAGGATTTTTGTGTCTCCAGTGAATTTTTTGTGTTGTATAATTTTGTCTAATATTAGAGTCTGTCAAGGAAATTCGTGTCATTTGATGATATATGTGTCCCTAATTTAGATTTTTGTGTCTTATGAAGTTTTTTTTGTGTTCGATGAAATTTTTGTATCCAGTGAGGATTTGTTTGCGTCTAATTAGGATTTCTGATTAGGTCAGGGGGAACTTTACAGTCAAGTTAAGATTGGAACGAGTGGCGCGATGCTCCCTGATTACATATTTTTTTCTTTTCTAGAAGATTCCGTGGAAAGAGTGGGAGTAGCAGCCCTCGGAACAGAAATAAGGGAAGTAAGGGAGGATCTAAAGAGGAGGTACGTGAATATTTCTAATAATGGAAGTAAGGGAGGTACGTGAATATTTCTAATAATGGAAGTAAGGGAGGTACGTGAATATTTCTAATAATGGAAGTAAGGGAGGATCTAAAGAGGAGGTACGTGAATATTTCTAATAAGGGAAGTAAGGGAGGTACGTGAATATTTCTAATAATGAAAGTAAGGGAGGATCTAAAGAGGAGGTACGTGAATATTTCTAATAAGGGAAGTAAGGGAGGATCTAAAGAGGAGGTACGTGAATATTTCTAATAAGGGAAGTAAGGGAGGAGGTACGTGAATATTTCTAATAAGGGAAGTAAGGGAGGATCTAAAGAGGAGGTACGTGAATATTTCTAAAAAAAATGGACTGTACTGATATAATTTCACGTGACTAGCTTTATCTATAGAATGGCATTCTCCGAGACATAACGGACCCTTCAAACTTTCTCTAATCAATATTGTGGAAGATATTGTCGGGTTTCTAGCTTGAAAAATCAGAAATGAGCAAGTTGATTGATTGAGAATCAATCAATCAATATTTAACCAGAATATGATGGATATCTCTTGTATATTTAATTGGACAAAGCTTTTCAATAATACATTATCTCCAAAGTTCTCTTCTTTAATAAAAACAAATATCCCTCATAACCCTGTCAGGATTATTTTTAAACATAAGAACACAAACCTTATCAAGATTAAACATTTTCTTCAGGACAATTTATTTCAGAAAAAATTGTCATATGTTTAGTACATAATTGTTTTTCATAATCTGATCTAGTAAATAATAAAATACAGTTGCTCTCCTGATAACCTTGATCTATAAAATACCCGCCACGAGGTTAGAGATAATGATAGGATGACTCCTATAGCAATATATCTAGAAGGAGACGGCTTATTTGGTGTACCGTCCCAGTAGTACTGTACAGCCCGCTCTAGCTGGTTCCGGTTCTTAAAATGAAACAGACCTAACAATGTACTGTCTAGGATGTGTACGGTACGGTGAGCTATAGTCAAGATTCTGAGACGGTAAAGCGTCCCCGGGACCACGTGAGGACCGTGTACACTGAACTACGGGACCCGGATACACCCCTCAGCTCAGATCCAAACCCTGGCGCATGGAACTCAGGAATACAATATTTTGAAAAATCAGCTCCAAAACCTTCACACTTCGACAACCTTCACTCTGAGCTACGTCAGAGCCAAGGGTTGCCGGCTAGGTCGGATAAGGGATCAGGGCAGGATTGGGGTAAACTACTATACAGGGAGAAACAGAGAAAACCGTCTCAGTTCGACTTGCTCAGAAGCACGTTAAAACAGGTATAAAACAGACAAGTTTAGTTTTTGCATAATCTGATCCAGTATTCATATCTATAGTAACTGTAGTAACGAACAGTAATGTCTTCGTGCGGTATATATATAAACACGTTGGTACCGCGGCATTCCAGTGTTACAGTTTTGTAACGAATCTCAAAATACAGCAAGAACTAGAATTTTACTAATAACATTTTCCATATTATGTGAAATGGGTCTGTTTACACCGCACTATTTTTCATTGAACTATCTAAAGTTAAACTTAAAGTTTTAAAGTCGTCTTCCAATTCCACAGTTATCTGAAGTGTAAAGGCTGGCTTAATTAAAATGAAGAAACAAATAACTCTCGAAGTTTCTTCAGATTCCAATTTTCACTGACACGTCAAAAGGGAAAAAATTGAGACTTTGCCCCAAACTCAAATGTTCAAAATCCTGTATCTTTGCAACCTGATGGTGTAAACCTTCGATGTTTCAAATATAGAATTTATAGTTTGAAATATCTAAGGTCTATGACAAAGAAAATCAGAGTTTGTGTCAAAGATTCAATTCCTATAATGCATTGTTCGAAAATAGTGGCTTACTTGACTTGGATAGCTATATTTTCTCCCTTCATGATTGATCGAATGAATGATATCTCTTGTTGTAAATCTAAGACCAGCTGTGCACTGTCCAGCTTTTCAGGATTATTTCAATCGTTTATGTTAGCCCTGGGATCCTGGGATCTTATAGTTCGACCCAGCCATGGCAAATACAATAATCTTCTGCCAATTCATTCATGAACTCTTATCCTAAAACCAGTTTAGATTTTTGCCTATAATGCTCACGAAACGACCCATGACGTCACCATTCAAAAATCCGCGAAAACTGAAAGTTGAGAAAACCGCAAAAGAGATTGTTCATCTATTTTATGGAAGACATAGTTCACTTATTAATCTCAAACAGTTTTTTTAAGCGCTAGAATATCAGAATATCAGAATTCTTTGTCAGTGTTCACAATCACAACAGAAAGTCTCGGTTTTAAAACGAATTTGCGGATTTTTTTCTATATTTGATTCTACGGTTCTACCAAAGCAAATTTCAGACCACAAAGAAATTGCGATGAATTGCAAAAAATGGCTTTCTTTGGATTCCCAAGTTATTATTATTTGTATTTAAAAAAAAATTAGTTGATTTAAAAAAATTTAGGATGGCGGAAGAAGTAGATTGAATTATAGAGACGAAACCAGCGGAGCAATTCAAACCGGAGGAATAGTAGACAAGGAACATTGGAATAGAAGGAAAAATCTTCGAAAACACAAAAATCAAGATAGAAAGGTAGGAAACCGTGAAAGTACTTCAAAGTTTCATTCATCAATAAGTTTGCTATAAAGTTGTGTTGATATTTCTGTTTAGATTTGCCAGTTTTTCTTGTTTTTGTTTATCTATCTGAAGACTTGTATGAAACACAAAAGATAATAAAAGAATACTTTTCAATAAAATAATACACTAAAAAGTACAATGTTCTATTTTATGACTTTTTGCAACAGGAATAGAAGTTTTAAATGTGAAGTAATGACTCTTTTTCCTTTTTTTTGTTTACCCTTTTGGTGCAAGAATTAGGATTTTTCAAAATACTCACTATTATTAAATAAAAGTATGGTTAGTCATTTCTTTTTAAGAAATTTACATTTATTACATTTTTTTCACAAATTAAATATAATGCATGAAATTAATTTTAGAATTAAAATATGGTCATAGAAATAATACAATAGTTAAAGAACTAAACATGCAGGGTTACCAAGATGGGATGAGACTTTAGATCAGAACAGAAACAATTGTACGGAATTTGTTTCTGTCTTTATACCAAATCATTAAAAGCTCAGAAAACTCAATCTAACTTTGAAAACGTCATATTTGAAGAGTTTCAGGTCGTCCTTACAGTCTCGTCCTTATTGGGTACCCCCTGTTCTTTCAAGACTAATTTTATTCTGCAGTGTGTCCCAAAAACATGATAATTAAGATGTAAAGATAGTTTTATGATCTGTTCTCACAAAGTGTGTTTTAAATAAAGGTTATACATATTTTAAGCATTCTAAAATTTGAACAACCTCTTAAAATGTTTTAACAGTTTTTGGGGTTTTAAGCATCATATTTACAAAGTTAGAAGAGCCAATAGATTTTCTTTTCGCAAGAAGACGACATGTATTTATCTACTTCTGTCTGTTGGGACACACCGTATCTTTGCCCCGCATGCTTTACTAACCCACTAATAATGAACTAACCCTATAGATAGAGGAGCTAGAACAAGCTTTGTTGGATGGTTTCAGACGGAATCAGTTCCCAATACAATCTCAACAGGTAGATTATCTATCTATCCATCGAGTAGTATTTAGCCAATTACTCCTTTCAACCCAAAGCTAGAAACAATCGCGTTGAATTTTTTAAATGAATATGTCTACAGCTACAAAAAAGTATAAGTGAGAAGGAAGTTAAAACCAAAAATCAAGGCGTCGCGAATATCCAAGTCAATGATATTTAAGTTTCAGAGTTGTCTTTATCTCAGTAAGAAATGGAAAATTCAATCAACAAACTGAACGAAACGTTAGGTTATTAGTTGTAAAATCTTGATGGGTGGGTACACCCTCACCTAGTGTGGTATAGTGGAGGGGTGGGTACACCCCCACCTAGTGTGGTATAGTGGAGGGGTGGGTACACCCCCACCTAGTGTGGTATAGTGGAGGGGTGGGTACACCCCCACCTAGTTTGGTATAGTGGAGGGGTGGGTACACCCCCACCTAGTGTGGTATAGTGGAGGGGTTGGTACACTCCCACCTATTGTGGTATAGTGGAGGGGTAGGTACACCCCCCACCTTTTAATTCTTTTTAAAATGATTTAGATTTGATTTCATCAAATATCTCATTTTTTCTCTTTAAATTATGGTAAACTATACAAACTATACCATTTTGATTAAATGCTAAGGCTTTCAATTTAAGGGGACAAGGAGAACGTAATTAATCCTCTAAACACAGATTCAAAACTTTAAACATAACACAGTTATCTAAAAACAGGAAATCCAAGTGTTCACTGGCGAGGATTTTTAAAGTCAAAGGTCAGTAGGGTACGGTTGTGAATCTGACATAATTTCCACCCACAATCCCCCTGCAGAGAATGGTTTAAAAATGTAATCGATTTTTTTCAATATTTCATTTTCCACAGTTTGGAAATTGAATTTTCTTTTTATGAATGTGTGGGAGTTACCTGATATACTGTTTCGTATACTGCTACCTCCTTATATATATATATATTTATAAATATATAGCTTCAAATTTAGATATTTCTCATCCGTAAAAGTATCCGGGATAATTCTATATATTCATGCATCTACAATGTTCATGGATCCGTGGTATTTTAGTTGAGAGAGAAAGAGAGGATAGATAAAAATAGGGTTGTACTTTTAAGCTATAGAGTATGATTTTGAAAATTTAAAATTGGCTGAACTAGGACTTACAAATCTATAAGAACTTATCAGTGTCTTGAATCAGCAAAGGAATTTAGTTCTTTCTAATTCCCCGCGTTTATTATAGTTTGAATATAATACTTCTTGTACATTTTCAATAATTGATAACATTATTGTTACCTTTGTTTTTACGTCACCAGAATTTCTACCAATAGCAAAGCATATCTGGTCATTAACTAGAAATTCCTCTTTTTGTCGTTCAGTACTGTTCATGTGGTTCCTTCGGCCACATATGAGTTTTGTATAACTTTTAAAGTTTTATATTAGTTTCTCAATAGGGGTTCCGATCAACTTCTAAGTTTTCAAATTTTTCCCTTTCGTTTTTCCTTAACAGTCCCTTTAAGTTTTGGGTTCTATCGGAAGATATATATCTCTAGAAACATATCTTCTGGTCTCTGAACACGAGTTTGCCAATATAAAGTAGATATCTGGACCAAACTCTTACATTCATTCATTCAATACCACACCACACAACTAGAAAACCACTATATCAAACCACACAACTAGTGAACCACAACACCACACCACACAACTAGAAAACCATAAAACCACACCACACAATTGGAAACTCACAAAATCGCATAACAAGAAAACCACGATACCATACAAAGCAACTAGAAAACCACAGTATCAAACCATACACCTAGAAAACCACAATACCAAAACCACACAACTAGAAAACCACAATACCATACAAAGCAACTAGAAAACCACAATATCAAACCATTCAACTAGAAAACTACAATACCAACAACAAAACTAGAAAACCACTATACCAAACCACACAACTAGAAAACCACAATACCAAACCACGCAACTAGAAAATCACAATACCAAGCCACACAACTGGAAAAACACGTTACCACACCACACAACTAGAAAACCACTATATCAAACCACACAACTAGAGAACCACAACACCACACCACACAACTAGAAAACTACAATAATCTACCACATACAAGGAAACAGACTAGCAAAAGACGGGCATTTAATAACAACAATTTTGAACCCCGCCATTTTGTTGAAAATATGATGGTGACATCATCACTTGGAAACTTTAAACTTTAAAATTAATTTGTTGAAAGAGTTTGTACCATGTTGGTTTAATGTGAGTTTCTGGTCCCTCGACTTTTTCAGCACAAAATTTACTTTGTAGAATATATTTTAGAGAACAGAAATAATTAAAATCATTTGAAGCGAAAAGTCAGGGAGCCACATTGGCGCAGAGTGGCGCGCCGGCTCTTTAGTACCATCTGGCGGCCAAAATTGGCAACTCAAATTAATACATGTTGAATAATCTGCAAATCAATATTTTTGATCTTTTTATTCAAATTTACATGAAGTGCAACTTGCATGATATTTACTTCTAACAAATAACAAACCAACACTTTAAGAAGAATTCATAACAATAGGTCGTAATATCTAACTATTTATTTATTTAAAATTATTTTCAGTTGCGGAAAGGTAAGAAAGACGAAGCAAAGAAAAGATTCCGCGAACGCGAGTTCTACAAGAACCTGATGTTAAAGGGAAAGTAGAATCTATAATACACCTGTATTAAAACTGCTACAGCTAAAAGTTCCCGGATTTTGTACGACGAAAAATCCGCCAAAAGATTGCTTCCAGAAATTTCAAACACAGAAATGAGCTGCAGTAGCAAAAGACATCTCGAGGTATTTCAATATGAGAAAAATATTTATTCAGTGATTAAAACTGCATTTTCTTGTTTGTCGAACAAAAGTCTAAAATATTTATTATTTAAATGGCATATTTCTATGCTAAATATTTAACCGTGCATGTGCATAGTTACAAATAGCAACAAACTCCGATTCCAGTGAATTTATATTATTTATTAATGTTCAACGTTTTAAACCATTTTTTCTGCAGTATATATTGGACATATCCATGTTTATTTCACATATCTGTTTTATGTTCAAAATTAGCCATTAAGTCCTACATATCAAATTGATTGAGAAAATTAAACACAAGAAACATATCTTATCAAAAATTATATCATTTTTTCAAAACCGTCAGGAATTTTATTTTCCATGTAAAAAAATAATTTTTAGCTGTAAATAATTCATGTAACATTTGTTCTCCAGCCCTCTTGGCTTTCCGGAAAATGTTGGCTTTCAATTATTGTCTTTTCAAGCTTTTTCAAGCTTTCAAGAAACAAGAAATTCTTTGAAGAATGTGTGTATTGTGTTCTAGCAGAAACCTGTCTCGCTACAGAGCAGAGTAGAGGTTCCGTGAATACTCAAATAAATAAAATTCTGAATTTCGGAGATTTTCTTCAATTAATTGCAACTTTTATCGTTGAAAATAATCAAGAATTTCTTAAATTTTGAGAAAAAGGCCTCTGTCACAAAAGGGTCCAACTTAAAAATTGTAAAAATAAACAGGTCGAAACTTTTGAAGCCCGGTGGATAAAACTAACACATTATGGATTTATCAAAATCTATGTTAAAAATCTCTTGGCGAATTTAAAAAAACCGAAAAAAACCTAATCGCCATAAATTAAAAGTTTCTGCTGTTTAAGTCAGGCGTTGCAGTTCAGCGAAATCTTAATCAAAAGTTTTGACCTCTTTGTTTATCTTCCACCATTGGACAAAATAGCTGTGATGAACCCATGCTACCATCTTTCCATTTATATATTTATTCAAAAATCCTGTTTTCTCTTTTATTATTTTATCATTTTATCTAAAGAATCTCTTATATACATATATATATATAGGTCTGAATTATAAATCTAGTCATGTCTTTAATGATACAACCTAGATAGATAGATAGATAATCCTTGATTTATCATCAGTTTATAAGTTATTTTAATGTAGAGCTGGCCATATAAGTATAGAAAATTAAACTGACATTTTCAAGAAATATAAATTTGATTCTTGAAACATGATCACAAAATTTCTGGTCATAAATCATTAATTAAATTCATTTAATGAAACCAAAATTATCCAAATCTGAACGAAATTCTTTAGAGATATTGAAAACACAAAAAAGGCCGACCACATTTTGTCAAAAACATCTGCAATTTCTGTTTATTAATTTAAAATTTTTTACTTTTTTTGTAATCCAAGCCCAGCTCATATTTTCAGAATTTAAAAGAGAATCTATCTATTAAATTATTGACCAAAAATTTATGAGAATTTATATTTAATTTCTGAAAAAAATGTATATTCCTATATGATGATAAGTGAAAATATTAGATTAGATTGTCCGTATTGATATTTATCTATTTCTGGATTTTGTTACAAACATATCATAACTTTCTGTTCATATAAAAAGTATGAAAATACCCTCAAGAAAATCAGACATTTTTCAAAAATATTTAATTTTAGTAATGTGTGTTCAAAAATTAAATATTATAAAATATTTATATTTTACGTATTTGTTCAAGAAAATATAAACAATTTGGAACTTTAAAATCATTCTGAAAAAACATACCGTTCCGCGATATGTCGAACTGAATGTTAGTGATATCTCACAAATTATAATTCCTAATATTCTGTTTGACATTTTAAAATGTTTGATAGTTTCTTAAGTACTTTCTTTTGGGACTAATGTTTCGTTCGTTGAGGGGTCAGAGGGATTGAAAGATTGCTAAAAATTCGATCCTTCTTGAGGCTGAATAACAGAAAATACCAAATATGTTTGACCACTCAAAATGTCTCCGCTGAGTTTACCAAAGATGTATTCAAACTGTAATTAATTGTAATTTTTATTATTAGAATTTTTCTGGAGGATAACAAAAGTTTTTTATACAAAAGATTATTATTTTCAATTAATCTTCAAATATTTTTAAAATCTTCAATAAAAGCTTATTGTTAAGCAACTTCTGCATACATTGTGACTTATATTTACTATTTAATCCATTAATTTCAAATTGATACTTCATTGAAGTCTTTACCAAATATAATTATTGTATTTTCATAAATTTAATTTTTATTTTTTGCAGGAATAATGTTTTGAGCAATGATATTTGGAGCGTTCTTGAAAAATGTTTAATGGACAAAGCATTTATGATAAATATGTCTTGACAACTCAGGTTTGCTTCATTTTCCTTATACCCTCTTAAAGGGACTGTCAGCGTAATTTCAAGTGACCCTCCATGCAAGGAAAATTAGGTTTTTTATCCGTCAAAAGCGGTTTTCAAGAATTCGAAAGAAAATATATATTTTGGCCTACTTCTAGAAAGTGAATATCAATATTTTGAATCTTTATTCAGTCAAATGTTTCTAGGCCCGGCACTGTTGTGAATTGAACACTCCATTTTTGAATGGAAGTCCAATTGAAATTACGTCTGCAGTCCATTTAGCAACCCAATCTAGGGCTGGGCACTTTAATCATTAGTACTTTTTTATTTCATTCATTTCCGTGTAGGTAAATCAATTATGTTATCGTTATTTATCTGCTGCATCTAATGCAAGTTTCTTCAAAAATTATTTTTAGTCCAAGTCGTTTAATAACAGATTTTTTTCCATTTAGTAATGGTTTTTCCATTCGGTAACAACTCTTTCCATTATCTAACGAATATTTCCGTACACTAACGGTTATTTCGTTTATTTTTAAAATTTATGTGTTTGATAACGATTCTTTTTGTTAAGCAGCGGTTATTTCCCTTCAATAACAATTCTTTACAATATTTAAGGAATCTTTTCATACATTAACGAAAAGAAAATCTTGGTAAAAGTTATTTCCATTAGATAAAGATTCTTTCCGTTTAACAATAAATATTTCCGTTTTGTAACAATTCTTTCCGCCTGATGTATCAAGTTTAACCGTTCGATATCGAGTTTTTCAGTTCGGTAGAGAATATTTCTGTTACTTTTTAAAAATTTCCGTTGGTATAGAAAAGTTTGTCCAGTTCTAGTTGAACCTTGTGGATTGTTTTGAATAGAATTAATTGTTCCTAGAGGGGAGTAATACCGTGCTTTTACAAGAATATGTTTAAACAATCTCACATACATCCTTACACAAGTATAGACAATGGTCTTCATCTGTTGATAGGCAAGAAACTTATAATGTAACCATGCATCACACAATATGCCCAAAAGCATAGAAAATTTTCAGTTTTGACAAAAAAAAATAATCAACCATTTTGAAATTTTTCGATTTCTGGATAGATTCCGTTGAACATTTTTGGTTGAATGCAAAGTTTAACATTTAAATTTACTTCCCAAATAAAAAAAACAACTATGCTTCCAGGGCGCTTCGTGCCAATCTTTTATTTCAATTCAATTAAACATGTTTTTCCATCAAAATTCGATCTTCATTAAATTTTTTAAGATTTTAAAAATCCACGAAATCTTTTGTGAAAATCCGCGAATTATTTTTGTTTTGTTTTACGATCTACACAAAGAGAACATGTTCACAATTAATTTAGAAGATGGGCGCGAAGCGCCCTCTAAGGCTAGTTGTATATAAATAACAAAAAAGTTTGCGGATTTTATAAAAAGAAAATTGTGGATTTTTTTTTTAATCTAATGAAAATCTAATTCTGTTGGAGGCGAATTTTTGAAATTTTGATCATCCAGAAACCTTTCGGGGTCTTATGAGGTTCCACAAAAAAATGTATGCACATATTTAATAGGCATTCAGGGCGCTTCGCGAAGTTCGTGGACATCTTCCATTTCAATTGTGAACATTTTCTCTTTGAGTATCTACATTGTAAAACATAAACAATCAAAAAAGTTCACGGATTTTTAAAAAGATTTCTTGGATTTTCAAAATTTAATGAAAATCGAATTTTGTTGGAGGCTAATTTTGAAATTTTAATCATTCATAAACTTTCCTTGGGGTCACAACACATTTGGGCCCGATCGGTTCAGCCGATTTGACGTTTATTGGATACAAACAGACAAACACCCAAACAGACAAGGAAAGTATAAATATAGATACGTTTATTTAATTAAAATTAAGGTCAAATAATTCCATTAAATTTGTTTACTAATTTTCTAAACTCTAAGCAATTCTGATTCTGTAAACCTTTGATATTTCAAACATAGATTATTAATCTAAGGTCTACGACATTGGGTTGCAAAGATTTATGGATTAGAAAATCTGAGTTAGACCCAATTGCTACAAAGGATTTATGTGAACTAGGTTAGATTTAAACATAAGTGACAAAACTAAGTATCTGAAAGTAAATAAACTGCTTTATATAAAGGTAAACCACTGCACAATAGTCTGTTATAAAGATAGTTTACTCTATGCATAATATATAAGGGCACAAGAGTATGAAAGAGGGGAAATACTTATTCCTCTCGGTATGAATTTATTTAGTCTTTCTCAGCCTTCAAATAAGTTTCAAGAGTATATTTGATTAATGGGATATCCATGACTAAACAGATGATATCAAAAATGTGTAAAGTTCAACTATCAGTGTAGAAATAATAATCCAAAATGGCGGATTAGGGACAAATTTGCCTCTTTACATATTCTGTACTCTGTGAAGAAGGTTGAGGGAAATCTAGATAAATTCTCTCAATTCTGTAAATCCTCCCACGCAAACCCATGCACAATACAAACTATATTTTATGCCTGAAGGGAGTGTACATAGATTCAACCTGATTTTTTAAATTTTCATCAATTTTTAAGACAGGGTCGACTTTGAATTGTCACAACGCCTTGGGCTTTGATTTTACCGCTTTAACTCACTTATGCTTTTCTGTTGCCCTTTACATGTACACTTTACATGTACACTTTACATATACACTTTACATGTACACTTTACATGTACACTTTACATGTACACTTTACATATACACTTTACATGTACACTTTACATGTACACTTTACATGTACACTTTACACTTTACATGTACACTTTACATGTACACTTTACATGTACACTTTACATCTTAGTACTACTATGAAGCACTGGTTTATAGCTTTGGTTTTAAGAAGTAATTGACAAAATTTTCAAAGATTTTAGCTTGAGAGCTTGCAACCTTTAAATCACTGTGACTGTAAGCGTAATTTCAAGTTACTGTTGACGTGCTTTGTGTGATGAAAAATGTAGAAGATACCGTCGTTTATCAGACTGTACAAGTGTTTATTTCTGCTTCTCATTGCTTCTCAAGTCCCTTTCGCAGAAAAACCACAAATGAAAATAAACAGTTTAAAGAAACAAAAACCTTGATTTCTTATTCATACTTGGTCCGACACAGCTTTTAGGGGTTCCTTTGTAAATCCTGCATTACCATGGAGGGTCACTTGAAATTAGGCTTCCACTCCCTTTAAATATTCTATGTACCAGAAAACCAATTGTATTAATATTCGAATTTTGAAAGGAAATAAATTGGAAAAAAAAAATTTGAAAAAAATATTAACGAAGATTTTTATTTATAGATATTCTGCTCAAAGGTGTTTGAGGTGAGAATGTCCAAAAAAATTCTCAATCTGTCTTGAAGTTCGAGTTTCGAGCGAAAAAAAAAATTAATCTTTTCGCGAAAATTTCGCGTTTTTTCTCGAAAGCTTTCGTTCGCTGAAACCATATTTGTAGTCATTATGAGTACAGAGGGTTTATTTCGTTTATATCTTAGATATTTCTATCTTAGCTTAGAATTATGTTTTGCGGGAAAAAATTCTTCTTACTCCAAGGAAATAAACTACCAGTGTCAAAATGATAATGATAAAGTAGAGATTTTGCATTTCCCTCGAATCTGACAGCTTACTCCCCCGCAATCTGGGGAAAACAAGAAGAATATAATTCAGCTTATTTATAAAATAAAGCTCTTCGTTCATATAAATATATATGAATGGAAAAAATCGGTGTTTTACTTATCAGATAACTAATTGTTTTTTTGATGTTGTTGTTGATGTGGTTAGTGTTGTTGTTGTTGTTGTTGTTGTTGTCGTTGTTGTTGTTGTTGTAATTGATGTGGTTAGTGTTGTTGTTGTTGTTGTTGTTAATATTGTTGTTGATGTTTTTGTTGTTGTTGTTATTGTAATTGATGTGGTTATCTTTGTTGTTGTTGTTATTGTAATTTATGTAGTTATCGTTGTTGTTGTTGTTGTTGTTGTTGTTGTTGTTGTAATTGATGTGGTTATTGTTGTTGTTATTGTTGTTGTTGTAATTGATGTGGTTATTGTTGTTGTTGTTATTTTTGTTGTTATCGTTGTTGTTGTTGTTGTTGTTAGTGTTGTTGTTGTTGACATTGTTGTTGTTGTTGTTGTTGTTGTTGTTGTTGTTGTTGTTGTTGATTCCACTACAGTCAATAACCTGTACTGTATGGAGTCTTCTTGAGGTAAAATAATTCTTTAGTTTTCAAGGTAAATGTTTTCAGAATTTTCCGTCTCATCTTCTCTTCAACAAAGGAGTAAGATTTTCTTTGACCATGTTTAAAACATGAATGGTGCAGGGTTTATCATAAAGAATGAGACTTCAGAGACGACTGTATGGATATTATCTATTCCTAAAATGTATGGTTCTCTGCAGGTAAAAATGTCTACTTTCTTTGTGAGATCATATGGTTAACCATTAAAATACTATTCAATATAGAAGATTAATTTTACTCCCCAGATCGTCATATTCAGAGAGTTTTTGGTCCTCATTAGTCTTATCCTTTGTAGGTAGGGATGCCAATGCAAGTGGATTTTAATTGCGCGAAATTGCGAACCCTCTAATTTTGTCCACGCAATTACAAGAACAGTTGCGTACTATTCCTCTCAGTTGTGCGCAATTCCACGCACTCCGATTTTGTCAAGTTCCAAGAAATATTAATAATGACGTATTCAGCTCTTTACAAAATTCTATTTTCAATGTATTTAATGTTACTTTACTAAAATATTTAATTTATCGTGTTGATTATTTTATGCTGAAAATATTAAAAAAAAATGTTAGAAATGTGTTCAAAATAAACTTCTTTTCAATTGTTTAGGAAAAACAGATCGATACATTTTTGGAAAATAACTATTTTTTAATAGCTGTAAATACAAAATAAACATTAATGAATCCATTCTAGCGCACTGCAAACCAAGGCTTACAAAAATATTGATCAGTATATTACTGTTTACTCCTTTTAAAGTAAAGGTAGAAACAAGCGCTTTGCATGTTAAAATGTGCATACCTAGGGCTATAAAAAAGTATACGCGAGTTGTTAAAATTCGAGGTTGTCTAAAATATATTTAACTTTCAGAGTTTTCTATAGATATCTCAGTGTCCTATAGATACATAAAAAATTAAAGCTGTTATTGTTTTCTCGTGAAACGTGTTCTATTTACCTTTATCGTGATTTTCTAAAAAAATACATAATTAATTAAATTTGTTATTCGTTCTGCCTATACATCCTTTGTTGGTACCGTATTGTATGCTGTATGAGGGGGGGAAGGCGACCCGCACCCGATTTAGCTCCGAACCGCGCGCAGATGCCGTCACAAAACAGTATTTACGGTATGTACTTACCCCTATGCCGTCCGATCCTTACCCGAATTTTGCCTTCTGGCAAATTTCTAAATTTGTATCTGCTAATTATAGACTAATGCAGCATGATTTAAATTTATTAACATGGCATGGCATCTATCTCATAATAAACCTTTTTATCATATTTATGTTTTTAACAGTAGCACATTTTCTCTGCTGAAATATTAGCGATACATAAAAACAATTCTGATCAAACAACATTTTTGTGTAGATAGTATTTGCGGCATTGCGCTATTTACGTCCGCATTTGTATTCATAAGATAAATGCGGGTTTTTTTGCAATTTACTCTTCATTAATATATTTAAGTATATACGGGCTGACAATCATTTCCCAAAAAAGTTTTGGAACACTAAAAAATATCATTTCTTAAATAAAATTCAGCGATTCAGTAAAAGAATTGATTTATTATAAATCCAATTTAAATTTATATTTTAAAATTGAAAATATTTAGTTAAAACCAGTTGTGCCTACCTGACACTGCCTATAAAAAGAAATAAAAACAATTTTTAGACATTTTGCCAGAAGTCAAAACGGATGAGGGTCGGACGGTATAGGTGTAATCAGCAATCAGCGAATCCTATTTTGTGACGTCAACTGCGGGTCGGAGTTAAAACTGGTGCGACCCGCCTCCCCCCTCTTCTCCCTCTCTCCCGTAGATTCTTTTATATTTTTGGAATTTCTTTTTGAGACAATGTTTCTTTTATTTCAGAATTTATCTTTCTATTTTCAGTATTTGTAAACAAGGAATACTTATAGTATTTTCTAAACAATGCAATATTTTACAAAATACATATTTTATTTTTATTTCTAAATATTTTTTTAGTTTTTTTGTGTTTTCAACAGTGACATAATAGATTTGCTGGAATCCTTCCTTTTGTGAAGATAATTGGAAAATTATTAATTTAAACTAATTAGTAAATTAATAATTCAAAATCAATCAAAATTCTTGGCGAATAGTTGCACCAAGAATAATAACAACTAGAAATTCATGGTCCTTCGTGCCCTTCTTGATAACTAACTACAGAATTCAAATTTGAAAAGATTAGCATGTCCAATTCACAACGGTTATACCCTGTAAACCTAAGTATGTCTGAGGAAAAAGTACTTAATTGTGCCTGTATTTCTTATACTGAATTGTGCCTGTATTTCTTATACTGAATTGTGGCTGTATTTCTTATACTCAATTGTGGCTGTATTTCTTATACTGAATTGTGCCTGTATTTCTTATACTGAATTGTGCCTGTATTTCTTATACGGAATTGTGCCTGTATTTCTTATACTGAATTGTGTCTGTATTTTTATACTTAATTGTGCCTGTATTTCTTATACTGAATTGTGCCTGTATTTCTTATACTGAATTTTGCCTGTATTTATTATACTTAGTTGTGCCTGTATTTATTATACTGAATAGTACCTGTATTTCTTATACTGAATTGTGCCTGTATTTCTTATACTTAATTGTGCCTGTATTTCTTAGACTTAATTGTGCCTGTATTTCTTATACTTAATTGTGCCTGTATTTCTTACTTAAAGGGAATGTAAAGGAAAATGAAAGGGGGGTATAGGCTGAAAGCTAATCACTTAAGCTCTTGATCGCGACCCATGAAAGTTATATCTGATGTTCCTATCTCGAGAAATTGATATAAACTGTGTCAAATTTATACAAAAATTCATTCAGATCTATTCAGCAAATATGCAACCAACCTAAAAACGAAGATATCCCAGAGAAACCTACTTGTAACCTAGGTTTTCTCCAATTATTATTAATAATTATTTTTATTTTTAAAAGATATAAATGATAATATTATTTATAACTACTTGTGACGTCATCAGAACTCCCACCAATGGTAGTGCAGTATACTGGTAAAGTTTAACAGACAGGGACACGTGACCAGTATACTGCACTCTCATTGGTGGGAGTTCTGCTAAATTGTACCTGTATTTTATACTGTAAATAAATAAATTTCAATTGCACTTCTCTGCGGAGTTTTGGAGCAAAGACAATGTGGAGCAAAATGAGAAAAATTTCGTCTTTTAAAGACAGAAAAAGAAAATGTGTAAATTCGGGAATTTAAGCTTTAACCTTAAAAGGCGGGCTATGAACATCCTTTGCAACCCAATACCTTTGCTCTAAGGTCTTTTTCTAGAGAGGGGGGGGGGGCGGAGGGTGTCCAGCCTTTTTAGGGTTAAAATGGGATCCCTTGCAAATATGTCGGCAGTTATTCTAAAAATCTAAACAATTGCATTCTAATTTCTAATATTTTATTTTTGGAGCAAAACCACTATATTTTATATTTTATATTAAAATCAGATTATTATAAGCTTTAATTTTTAACTGAAAAATTCCTCTAGATTATAAGCACTTGTACACTATACAGTGAGAACAAGGGATGACGACAAATAAGCAATACTTAAGTGTATTTGATGTTGTAACAAAGAAAATAGTTTTACTATCATCTTTTTTAACCACTTAATAAGTTAAGTGAATTGGGTCTGTTTACACTGCACAATTGCGGTGTCTCGTGCTCATTTATTTAAAGTATTAACTTAAGTCTTAAATGTGTCTTTCTATTCCACAGTTTTCTGGTTCTCACTGTAAGTTACAATTTACAAAGCAGTAAGATACAGAGTGTCCCAAAAAACATGGGAATTCAGTGACAAATTCGATATCGTCTTAGTTATGATATAGCTTTGTAGTACCTAATTTAAAAAGCAATAATATTATTATGTCTGCTAGAGTTTATTTTATCAAAAGGGTAAAAGACTGCAAAGATGTGTCTATAATGCAGTCAAAACATTAACAAACAAAATGTGAACATAGCAGACGACACTTTTACGGATTAAAGCTTTCTCAGTAGGTATCACTATACTAAATTAAGGAATTATTCAAAAAGACGATATCGAATTCGTCACTGAATTCCCATGTTTATTGGGACACCCTGTACAAAAAAAGCACAAAATATAAAAATAAATTTCTATTTTATAAAAATGGCCGCAATTAAAGGGAAAGCTTCTGATTTATAAAGGGTCACCAACACATCTGGCGTCCTTCCGGAAAGTACAAATCTGAAACATTTCATTTATTATCAGAGGGTTTGTATAGAGGGGAGAGGGGAGATAGGGGCTATTGACACTACCCCCCCCCCTTTTAATAACTATTTCCTATTCCTCTTTAATTAAATATGAATGCCCCGAATTAATTGCATGGTTCCTTGTCCGGGTTATATTAGAGCTTTTTTACACAAAATTCAGAAGTAAAAATGTTAACCCTTTTTTCAGAACTGAACAGAGCTGAAAACTTTAGAATGTGATATCCTTAATCCCGATCTGTTAATTAATCTGGAAATTAAATTCTTGAGGAGAACAAGCATTATTTAATCATTAAGAAAAAGAGTGGATTGAGCATTAATCCCGATATCCACCATTCTAAAGTTTCCAGCTCTGTACTGACATACAATTCGGGATCAAATAGAGCACACGGTCATGGCTAAACTAAACTGGTTTGATGGATACAATTGAGGTCAAGTCAACACTGAGCCCAAAACTTAAGACAGGGTATCGTTAAGAAAACCAGTTTTTAAACCCGGGTTTCACGAATGGGGTTACGCAGTTTTGTGAATATCAATATTTTTGTTATGAAATATTATTTTTTTAGTTTGATTATATTTTCCATTTTTTTCGAATTTCTTAAATCAAAATCTACATAAATGTTAAGACCCCAAAAAGGAAACTCCCGAGTTTTGTTTAACGATACTCTTTTAAATTTCGGGCTCTGTTTAACAAGATGGCGTTCAGTTATTTAACCAGCTAACAAGCCAAAGCATGGAAAGTTGTCAATTCTAACGAAATTAACCGTCTAACGATCAAAGTGCTGAAACGAATTTTCTAGTAAACCGCCGAGCAAAGACGACAGTGTTCAATCTGATATAAAAACAAATTTCGAAGGTGGTGTCGTTGTTCGACTCGAAATGAGTTTGATTCTGATTACTTCTCCATTATTTCTTATAGGCAAGAAAAGTGCAAAATACTTTCACAGAGAAAACACAAAAGAATATAAAATGTTTCAAGGGTAGGCCGTTACTTAAAACTACGCTGAATGCAGTTCCTTTAAAATACAACATTTTCTCTCTCAGCTTACCTTATTAATATAATCAAAATGTAGATCTGCCAGACAGGAGAAGATTATGGGTTGGCCGGATAAACAGTTTACGTACCTAACAAAAAATAAAATTAAATTCAGTTAACAATAAAAGACGTGGGAATTAGGGTTTTTAATGTTTTGAAAAATCTTAAATATCCCATAACATTATTTAATATTTAAGCTACAGACCTGAAAATGTATTGTAAAATGTTGATTTTAAGTCATGGGCTACATGTTAAAAATTTTCAACACTATAATTTCTTATATTGAAAATTCTTCTGACTAATTTTTTGAATTTTTTGTAAACCTCTTGCAACATTAAAGCTAGAGATCATAATATGTTTAAAAAGGAATTGGCCTTAAAACAAATGAACAAGAGAAGGTCAAATTTATGCAACGTTTCTGACATGACTTTTGTACCTAGTGGGCGTGCCTCCTCAAACATGAAAAAAAAAACTTGGAAATCAGAAATTTAAAATAGTGTATGTTCTACTTAAAATACTTCTAATAGAAGAAGTAATGGTATGAATTTGAGCTGAAGGGTTTTGTTCTGAGATTTTGATATTTCATATTTTTATTTTAAGCATAGAAGTATGAAATATTACAAATTTAAGCTATCACCATTTACTTTGCAGTTTGAACCCATCCTAAACGGTGTGAAATACTTTCCCAACAGCATTTTCCCATGGGGCAACATGGGATTTCACAAGTGGCAACTTCCTAAATGTGCAATTTCCCAAGCGGCAACCTCCCAAATGTACATTTTCCCAAATAACAATTTCCCAAGTGGCAACTTCCCCATGAAGGAAAAACGGTATTTTCCCCATGAAGGAAGTATTAAAGTAACATTTAAGTTTTACATTTTTTAAAGAATTTCTCAACTTTGTTTTAGAAAATAATACAACTTTAAAAAAAAATTCAATCAGTTTCACTCAGTTTGTTAAGGCAAAAACATGTTGGCGGCCTACACCCTTTCTTCAAAGAGTAAAAATATATTAAACGATCCTTATATTATCATTTACGGTTAGGTTAAGCCTTCTGAGGCTAGGGCGCCGCAGGCCACAATGGGGGCCGAGCGCTGAGAATAGGATGGGCTAGGAGGCCGAGCGCTACAACTAGGATAGGATAGGGGGCTGAGCGCTGCGGCTAGGATGGGATAGGTGGCCGCTGCGGCTATTACTTGGTTTAAAGAAAATATAGTAAATCATTCAAGGAAATTGTTAATATTTTAATATACTGTGAAAATTACTTTAACATGGCGTTAATTTAAGGAACACTGAGGCGGCACTGAAACATGACTGAAACCAATAAAAATAAAGCAGTATTTTGCCATATACTCATTTAAAGCTTTTAAACTAGAAACAACCATGTTTTGTAGCCACAAAAAAAGTATAAGTAAGTTTGTGACAGTAAAGTCGAGGCTGTTTAAAACTTGATGACTACAGTGATAACCAGAAATAGGAAGACGACATTAACTCAATACAAAAGAGCATTTGATGCTGTTACAAAGCAAAAAGCTTTAGTGGGGAGTTATTAAGCCAGTTATTAAGTGAATTGGGTCTGTTTACCCTGCACAATTGCTGTGCCCCATGTTCATTGGACTATTTCAAGTTAAAATTTGAATCTAAAAGTCTCCTTTCTATTCCAGAGTTTTCTGGCTATCACTGTAAGTTTCTGAGTTGTGTATCCTTAACGTTGAAGGTTGCTTACTTACTATCTCTAGGAATTCCATTAATAACAATTCTCAATAATACTTGTAATGCGTCATTATTCTTCGGAGAATAATTCTCTCGACTACGAGATAATGGGCAATAATTGGTTCAGTTTTTTAAAAACTGTACCTTGCAAACTTTTCTTCGGAATAATCTTTGCAAAAAATTATTCAAGAGCAAATGCTGGAGAAAATATAAGTAAAAAATTTTCCAACTAAAAATTGTTTTTTTTTCTTCGTTTTGAAAACTTTTTTGGGACTTTTTCAAGTTTCCACATTTCAAAAAAGTTTCTTTTTTCTTTTGACATAGAAGAAAAGCAAACGTTTACTGTTTCCAAACTTGAAATTTAGAAAAAATCTTTAATTTTTGATGAATCTTGAAAAGTCAAAAATCCTGAAAAGATTTAAAACTCATTACTTTCATTACATTATCAATTCTCAAAAAGAAAAGAACTCATTCTCTTTACTCAGAAGAAATAAAAATACCTATAATATCTATAAAGATATTTTTTTAAAATTTTTTTTTTTGCTAATAAACGTTAAAATGACTACTCCGAGAAGGCCAATTTTTGCAGCTATATCCCTAGAAAAATTGTAAATTTTTGTTAAAAAATTGTTGGTTTTGAAATTCAAATAAAAAAATGGTGGCTTAAAAAGCAACATATATACAATTAAATTGTCACCAAAAACTCTCGAAATAATTTAAAACTGGGTTTGTATCAATCTATTAGTGACCAATTATGCACTTTGAAAAAGACAACGAAATATAATAGAAATGTGAGTTCTAAGCATATTTGCAATATATATATATATATATATATATATATATTTATATAAGCACTATCTGTAAGTATCCCGGAGGGAAAAGTAAAGAGAGAAATGTATCCTGTAACACAGCAGAACTGTTGGTCAACAAGTTAACTAAAAGTTTATTTACATTATCACAGTAGGGAATACATCAAGGGAGTAGATATAGGGCTGCAGGGAGTATTTGGGACTGGAGGGAGTATTTAGGGAGTAGATATAGGGATGGGGGGAGTATTTAGAAAGTAGATATAGGGCTGGAGGGAGTATTTAAGGAGTAGATGTTTGGCTGGAGGGAGTATTTAGGGAGTAGATATAGGGCTCTAGGGAGTATTTAGGGAGTAGATGTTTGGCTAGAGGGAGTATTTAGGGAGTAGATGTTTGACTGGAGGGATTATTTAGGGAGTAGATATAGGACTGGAGGGTGTATTTTGGGAGTAGATATAGGGCTGGAGGGAGTATTTTGGGAGACTATAAAAGGACTAAGGGAATATTAACGGAGTATATATAGGGCTGGAGGGAGTATTTAGGGAGTAGATATAGGGCTGGAGGGCGTATTTAGGGAGTAGATATAGGGCTGGAGAGAGTATTTTGGGGGAATCTAAAAGGACTAAGGGAATATTAACGGAGTAGATATAGGGCTGGAGGGAGTATTTAGGGAGTAGATATAGGGCTGGAGGGAGTATTTAGGGAGTAGATATATGGCTGGAGGGAGTATTTAGGGAGTAGATATAGGGCTGGAGGGAATATTTTGGGAGAATCTAAAAGGACTAAGGGAATATTAATGGAGTAGATATAGAGCTGGGCACGTCTTGATTTTTTTGAACGACCCGTTAAAGGGAGTGATCGCGAAAAATGAAAGGGGGTATAGTTTTACGTCGAAAACCAGTCTATGGTATTTGATCTGAGAGTTACTTTTGAATGCATTCATTCTTGTTTCGAGGATTTTTGATAATGAAGACGACATTTCATATTTCCCAGGAATGGTCGAAAATTCAGCGGCTGCTGTCACGAGAAGTTGAAAGCGAAATATTATTTTTTTATCTAAAATATTATAAAATATCAACTATATAAGAATGCGTCGAAAAAAGTCTATGATTATAGGCTGTAATATCTGAATGATTTGTGTGGAATTAAATTGATTGTTTACGATCCGAGTCAAGTATTGCAAGTGCAACTTTCTGAATTTGTATAGACGCTACGTTCTTCAAGACTATGAGTCATTTTTAACAATTTTCTCCTTATAGACGCAACAGATAGATTAGTAGCAATCACCATAGAATATTTTCGACGTAAGCCTTTACCCCCTTTCATTTTTCGCGAACACTCACTTTAACGGGTCGTTAATATAACAAAAGGTTTAGCTTTGTCAATAAGCCGTTCGTTTTTTCGTTAATACAGATAACATTAATTCCAGTCAAGGATTGAAGGAAGCTTTGATCTGGGGAGGAACAACTAAAATAATCCTCAAATTAAAAGTGCTCACAGTAGATATCGTCCGAGATCAAGATCTAGATTATGAGTATATCCAATACAATAGATCCCCCAGCTCCGGTGTGAAGCCTATTCTTTATTATATTTTCAAAGAAGTGTTTTCTCTGCTTCAGAGTTTGGTGTGAATGAAAACCAGGAAACTGTGAAATTGCGGATAAAACTTACAGGTAAATGAGTTTTGTCTTACTTAAAGGGACTGAATTCGCAATTTCACGTGGTCTATATTTAGAGAGTGTCATGTCAGATTCACAACGGTTCTCTTTAAAGATTTACCTGATCAAGTATGAATCAGATATATCTATGTTTTTGACTTTGAAAAGTTTCTCTACAAAAGTAAGAAATATTGAAGAAAAACAAAACAAACAAAAACTAAACACTTTTCAAGTTGAAGACGACGTGTTCTGCCATGTTATTAATCAAAGAATGGTTCAAGGGTACCGTTATCAATCGGACATGCTCCCTCTTTTAATGGAAGTTTACTTGAAAATACAATGACAGTTCCTTTAAACAAAATCTTAAGTCAAACTTGGCTAGAACACCCGATCTCAGGCCATTACAACCTTATGTATGTAGAAATGGATAATTTCCACTATTTTGAAAAACGATCGTTTCGTTTTTAAAACGACGAATGAAAAAGAAAATCAAAACGATCGTTTTAAAAAAAGACCGTTTCCTTTAAAAAAAGAACACGAAACGAAAAACTATTGTTTTTTTCGATCGTTTTAACCCTATCACAGGAAAATTTTAAATTAAATCTGTTGATTACAGGTCGGAAAATTGAATTCAGTACAGCTGCATTGGTCGGCGTATAGTATCTATCAATGAAGACGACTTTTCTTTTCAAGTTTTGATTTGAGGGTAACTCAGTAATTTATCATATTTTGAGATTACCTACAATAACCACCGAAAATCGGTAATTCCGTTTTGGCTTCCGCCGGAAACTTTGTTGTTTTTTTTTCGACGAAAAACCATGTGCCAAAGATTCTTTTCCGGTGGAATTTCCGGGAGAATGTTTCCGACGGTTTCCGGCGAAAACTTTCAAGTATGAGTAAACCATTATTATAAATTATCCATGGATGAAACATTTACCGTACACAAATGTAATCAACATGTATTTACCGTACATAGATGTAATCAACAATATATTTACCGTACATAGATGTGATCAACAATATATTTACCGTACATAGATGTAATCAACAATATATTTACCGTACATAGATGTAGTCAACAATATATTTACCGTACATAGATGTAATCAACAATATATTTACCGCACATAGATGTAATCAACAATATATTTACCGTACATAGATGTAATCAACATGTATTTACCGTACATAGATGTAATCAACAATATATTATTTCTTTTGGGTTTTAACCTTAGAATGACCTAGAGCCTGTGATGGCTAAAACATGCAGTTAATTCTTCAATTTAATTTTATTATTTTTACATTATAATATTTCTGAGTAACCCACTAATTTATAATATTTTGAGGGTAAAATAAATGTTCTTACTGTTGGCAAGTTCCTTGTATCGCTAATAGCTCAGAACCCCTGCACTGGTTTTCTAAAAATTATTTATTTTTGTAAAAAAATTTAAAATTTACAATATCGAGTGTCTTTTTTTATTTACACATCTGCAAATAGATTTTTTTCTGACAAATATTCATTTTTTTAAATAGAACAAAAACTTCTCCCTTTTGGGGTCATTGGGACAAAAAAAATTGAGCAAGGCGTCAGGTGGTTCAAATCTTGAATCACTGATTCAGGGTTAAAAATAAAGTTGCATTTGATTCGGTGGTTTAGGACTTGAAACGATGCACATATTAAGAATGGGGATTAGTTTCTGGCCAGTTTAAAATAAATGAAAGCCCTGATGATTGAATACTGTCCAAAAAAATGATTCCTATCCCTACAACTATCTAAATATATGATCGTACCTGTTTTATAAATAAGATCTGGGGAACAATATCCCCAGCCTCCTAATTTAAGATGGCACCAGAAATATTTCTCATTTCTCTGCGCGCATTCATCAGCGCACTCCTGAAAAACGTGCACATGCTTAATTTCAAGTCCCTTTTCCTTTAAAGAGGGACATCCCTGATACACGACCGTATCCTTTAAACTTCTGAGTGATCATCAAAGACAATGAACTGAGCGTTAAATTTAAAAGACTATAGTCGACAACAGGCTATAGTCGACAAACGGGACGGTACAACGGGCTATAGTCGAAAAACGGGACGGTACAACAGGCTATAGTCGACAAACGGGACGGTACAACAGGCTATAGTCGAAAAACGGGACGGTACAACAGGCTATAGTCGAAAAACGGGACGGTACAACAACCTTTAGTCGAAAAACGGGACGGTACAAGTTCTATTACATATTACAATATAGGAGGGGGGGGGAGGAAGGGGGGTTATATTAAGCATCAAACTATACTTTTCAAAAGTTAAAATGTCTAATATGTAAAGTTGTAATCTCTGTCTGAGTGCTTGTTTGTTTGTCCGATCATAACTGAGTGGGTCCTTTTTCAACGGAAAAAATAGCTAAAATCGTAATTTACAACAAAGCGCGGGTAAACGGCGGGACTAACTATGCCTATTGTCTACACTGGGCAACATTGAGTTCCCAAGCTAGCACTATATAAACTATTCCATTAACCTATCCCCTGGGGAAAAGTATATATAACGTGTTTATATATATTTACATAAAATATACATTTACACGGGGTGTCCAACAAAATTGAAAATTAGGATGGCCACATAGTCCTTGACAGTTATCTAGAAATGATAAGGTGTTTAATTTTAAAAAGATTTGAAAAATACTTTTTACGCATAGCTTCAAAGACGATATATAAGTATTCGCTTAATTGTCATTTTTTTGATACACCTTGTTTTACCTTTCCATAATATGGTGAGACACCCTGTAGTTACCTTTCCATAATTTGGTGAGACACCTTGGTTTTACCTTTCCATAATTTGGTGAGACACCCTGTAGTTACCTTTCAAGTTGGGCATTGTTTTTTTATTATTCTTTTTTGATCATTTATAAGAAGTACTCGCAAAAACCGAAAGGGTGTATAGCATAGTATAGCCTCAGGGTTATTGTAAACGAAAACCCCAAAATGTATGGAGTATAGGCTATAAACATCTGATGTTTTATTATAAGAAAGTCGAAAAAAACATTTGTCGCTTTCAGCGGAGAATACAATGAAATTCAGAATTTAATTAGAATATTCAATTCACAACGGTACCTTTTCAACCTCTATCTGAGTAACAATAAAGAAGATATCCACGTTTTTCTATCTTAAATTTTGTTTAAGAAGAAACCTTTAAATTGTCTGTTATATAACTTATAATTTTTAATTTTTGAACCCTTTGTCCGATTTACCTCAAATTTTAATTGGAAGACAATTGTTAGAACCAGGTAAATGTTGATGTTCTTATAGCCTGGTTAAAAAAATTATCTCCTGTCAAAGCTGGGTTCCCAAGCTAGTAAAAATATAATTTTGAATATTAAATGAATTTCTGAGAAATTTCTTTTGTTACGCTCGGAAACATCTCAATAAGGTTTCTAACAAGTTCTTGGAGGAAAATCAGATCAAAAATCCATATTTTTTCGGAGGAATATATTTTGCTTTTCACTCTGTATATTGTTTGTTTCCCTTGCTAGATTTCTTCTTGCACCAGAAGTATTGATAACCCCGCTGCGCACACTCGTCCAAACAAAGTTCTCCGTGTGAGGTTAAACCTTGAAATATACACATGTAAAGCAGGGCTACATTAGTTTAAGAGTTAACCCCATAGATAAATAAATAAACATAGATAGCTTATGTACGCAAAATCACCAAGAATTGTACAGTCCGAGAACTCATACATCTAGGGGTCAAAGTGTACTTCAATGATAAGCGGGGTGGTTTGGTGTTTTAATGGATTTCAAAATAGAGTGTAAAATAACTCCGGGAATGGAACTATTTGAACAACAATATTTCACTGAGCAATACATCATATTGACGAGAACTGAAGAAGGACATGAGACGGACTAAACTAACTTAAATTTCTCTCTACAGAACTCATGTACACCACAAGTACTCAATGACATCAGAACAGCCAATGTTCACAACCGACCTAGTTTATCTATTTAATAGGAATATCTTTAAAACATCTCTGTACATTTATATCTTGCAAGATGAAAAATGTCGTCTTATGCGCAATCTAATGGTTACCCCCTTCAACCCAGAGGATGATTTATTATAATCTGAGGGGTAAATTAAAAATTATACATCAAAAGACAAGGTTTTTTAATCCTTTTCCACAAAACTGTATTCAAAGTTAATGAAAACTCTAAAATTGTTCTATTTTTGTGTAAATAAAAGCTAATTTTTCAATTGAGCCTAAAATTAAATTTATATCATCGGCCTGTAGATGGGTTAGTACTACAGTACATATACATCCTACCTTTAATTTGAATTAAGATACTAATTAAGTTATATCTGATCAAAGAATCAGACAGAAAAATTTATTTTCAATAAAACATTGAATATTTTACCTAAAATATAATATATAATATAATTTATAAAGAAAACATGTTTGCTGTAAACTGAAAATGCTACAATAATAGGGGGTGTGAAGCGACTGAAAATCCTAAATATGTATTGAGCGAAGTTCTTTAAATAGTTGAACTCAATGAACTCAAGTCTACTCAATAACTTAGTAAAGTAAACTTGAAGGTTTAATACCTTAAACATAGATTAATTAAAATAACAGCTAGGACACTAGATGTCGTCTTCTAAAGATTTATGTGTGTTTCGTTCAAAATAACCCTGAGGCAGAAGCCCAAAGGAGTTACGCGTAGTTGGCGTAGAACAAGACTGTTCTGAGAGCCTGTTCTACGCCGACTACATGTAACTCCTAATAGCTTCTGCTTCAGGGTTACTGTGAACGAAACACACATAAATCTTGAAAAGACGACATTTAGTGTTATATCTGTTACTTTAATTAATCTATGACCTTAAAGCTTTAAACCTGAATCATGATAATCATGACGGGGTAACTAGCTAGCTATATTATTGTATCATGGAAAACCAAACAGAGCTCAACAATAATCAACATGTCCGCATTCAGTAAATAAAATTTACTTCCAGTTCGAAATGAAAACTAGAAGACAAATATTTTATGCAAAAATCTTTGAGACTAAATAAAGAAAAAAATATATAGATCTAAAGCCTTGAGAGCTAAAAAAAAACTTTAAGCCTAAAAAAGAAACGAAAAAAGTTGGAAAAAAAATCTACAGCGTTAAATCTTAAATTATTATTTAAAAAATGTGGTAATAATCAACCATAACATAAACCTAAATGATTCTAAAACAGGGTTTCCATTTTTTTCCGATCAAGGTGTGACATTTTGAAAAAAATTTATAATTATCGTTTATTATTATGAAAGGAGAAAACGGGTCCCATCCCATAGTGCTAACCCAAAAACTAAAGAAATTAATAAAGGGATAAATATGTAAGTTGTTACAAAACTAATATTCATTAATTTTACTCCTGAGTCCTATTTAACCCTATCCCTGCTGGGGTACTTGAAAACCAGGATATGTTGGGGGGGGCAATTTGACCCCCCCCTCCTTTAAATCCCATGTTTTATGTCCAAATATGACAAATGATACATCATTAGACAGCTCTTGTGCTCTACTTTTAGAATCTGCAAAAAAATTTGCAAATTTGCGAAAATTGAATTTTTTATCGCAAAATCCAGTTTTATAGTAAAAATGTTTGCAAAAAAAAATTTGTCCAAAAAATGAAAAATTATACATTTTTGAAAAGCCCTTGACCATGCCATTTCAAATATGCAAAAATTTTTGCAAAATTTGAAAAAACCTGATTTTTGATTAAGAAAATTAAAAATGTGCAAATTTCCTTTGACAGGTTGTTTGCAAAAAATTTGCAATTTTTTTTTCGCAAAACTTGTGCAATCCGTTTCCTTATGTCATAGGCTTTCCAAAAAGCTAAATTTTATCAAAATCTGACAAGTGAAAGTGGGTCAAAACAAAGATTTAGTTTGTTACAGGCATAAGCAGTCATTCAGGCAGTGTGCCTGAGGACTCAGGCAGTTAGTATTAAAGCCCGGTTTTAGGCCTAAAGGGAGGGCTTTGGGTATGTAAGAAAAGTCAGAAAATTTCAACAGCCTCAGACCAATACTTTTTGAGTTATGTAAAAAAACTACAGGGGGGGTCAAATTGACCCCCTTCCCAGCAGGAATAGGGTAAGCTTATGTAAATAAGTTATGTCGGAAAAGTCAATTAGAACTTTGTTGAAAAAAATGCTTCAACACCATAGCTATAGAAACAGGCGCTTGTCAGATTTAAATACGAACCCATTTAAAATGGGAAGGTTAAAGCAAGAAAAAGGCCATATTTTTTTAATAACTGTCAGGACGTGTTCAGCATATACATATATGAAAACAAAATCATTTACTCAAATGGTGATATATTACAATATCAGTTACTGAAATCTATAAAATTAAACAAGACATTTGGCTAGACCGAATGGGCTGAAATAGTTTGTGGACACTCATGGGTAGCGTGGAGGTGAATTTTGTAGATCCAGAAAAATAATTAAATACGTATTTATTTAGGGTTAGGTTAGGTTCGGTTATGACACTTTCTGGGCCGAGCGCTGCGGCTAGGACAGGCTAGGGGGCCGAGTGCTGCGGCCACATGTCTTACATTTAAGACCCCACCAGCTGCCAGTCTCTACGCAGGCTTCCCACAGATATTTTTTTCTGGATCTACAAAATTCAATCCCCCTCTCTCTGTTTTGGAATTTTCCGGGGCATTGCACACAACATAAATCCCACTCTGCCTAAAAAACAATATATCTACTGATGAAAAAAGTTCACTGAGGCCAAATCTAAAACGTTAATAAGAAATTTATTATTTCGCCATTTATGCACTTTTTTGATAACCTCCAATGCCATATTCTTTAAAATCATGTTTAAAAACCTTACAGCAAAACTCTGTTCTTTTATCATAAAAAGATTTAAAATTATCTTTGTTTTTGTTTTCTTCCTGGTTTAAATTCCTGTTTTAAAATTTGAATTTTAAAACAATTTAGCGGGAAAAGTTTACTGCAAAATAGTTTAAATATTTATACTGTGACGTCATAGATTTGTGGTTTTATTAAAAGGGACACTTCATCAAATTTTGATTTATGAAGAAATAATTTGTTAATAAAATTCAAGAAAAAAAAATCTTAAATTGGCTGAAAATTTTAACTTACTTAATTACACTCTACACTTTTCCCTTCATTTTTTAAAATCTGTTTTAAAACGTTCACAAAAAGAAGCAAACTTTTCTTTTCTTATTTTTGAATTTTTAGTTACAATATTTGTAATGAAACATTTTTATCTCTACAGATCTTTACTTCTTTTTCGTCTGACTCACAATAAAGTAAGAATAATATTTTCATTGCAAAACGTAAAACAACTAGCCTGCAATGGCGCTTCGCGTGCCATGCTTTCCCGCAAGAAATTTACTTAGGTGTCACTTTAACAACAGTAATTTTATTTTGTGTACATTATCAATAAACTAATAATTTCAATTTTTGCAGATCATTCTGTTTTAAATTGTTAATTTCCAATTTTGTTTACAGTTTTACAGCTTATTTGGGCACAATATGATGAAAAAACAAGGAAGGTGTAATGCGATGGAGCAGACTCTTGCATGGGGCGGACTCTTGCATGGAGCGGACTCCCCCCTAAAGATTCAACTATTTCAAAACAATGCTAGACATAAAAAGCTCTGAATTTTATTAATGTATTTTGACCTTTAAAAACATTATAAATTATCTATGTCTCGAACAAATATTAATTGTTTGATGATTTAAAAGGAAAACGACATTCAGAAGGAAATAGCTTTATTTGCCTCACCCCCATTAAAATACATTTAAAAACTAAATGTGTATTCAAAATATGTCAACTAATAATTTTTAAAGTGTTGACCATGCTTTTTTTGTCTAACATTGTGTTAAAATGGTTGAAAATTTAGGGGGTCGAGTCTGTCCCATGCAAGAATCTTCTCCATGCAGGACAACGAGTAGGGATCTGTTTCTACTATTTGAATTCAATAACATTTTGGTCTGTAATACAACAATCTTTAAACTCACGAATTGTTGTATTTGTATATTTTTTATTCAAAACGCAAATGCCCACAAAAAGAGTATGAGAGTAAATTGAAAAATTGTAAACGAAAGTCCAGCTGGCGCGCGTACCTGTAAATCTCTTTGTTTCTACTGGATTAAGTTCTTGCCCAGAGGAAACTGAAGGCCCCGACTGAAAAAAAACATCTATAATTTCTTAATTTACTTCAAATCGAATGGGAATCCAAAAATGTTCTCACAAATCTTTAGAATGCAGGGTAGCCCACAAAGGATGAGACTTCAAAGACGACTGAACGGAATCTATTTTGTCTTTTACATTTTGTGCATTCCTGGTTCTCGCGACTGAAGACGTGTTTTTCTTTCTAGTCAAATCATTTATATTATATTTTTGACAACTTTATTTAGAGCAAAAGTCCAATTTTAACCTTTAGATTTTTATATTTAAACAGTTTCAGGTTGTCGTTTTAGAATCAGTCTTTTTAGGTAGCCCTGTAGCTAGAGAATACCCACAACGGATGATACTTGATTAATAGATTTTACCAAATTTATACTGTTTCCTTATATTCATGATTCCCTGCAACTGTAAACTTTGTTTATTTGCCAAATCATGTAATTAGGAATACTATATCTTAGACAGAATACATAAATTAACTCGTGGACTATCATATTTCAAGAATTTCTAGTCGTCTTTACAGTCTCATCCTTTATGGGTAACCCGGTGCCTAATGGCATAAACAATTCTTTGGTATTTCAGACATAACATTTAAATCTTGCAAATTTTTTAGATTATAATATCAAAGGTGCATTACATTAGCTAGGGAGCATTGATAAAAGGATTAGAAGTTTAGAACATTAGGGGTTGAGGCGAGTGTTAAGTTAATTTACATTAAAATTAAAGGTATGTTTAGTTCTACTCTTATGTAATTTCAATGTGGTAATATGAGTTTTCTTGAAAACCTTACCTGATTAGCTGTTGTTGTTGTTGTTGTTGTTGTTGTTGTTGTTGTTGTTGTTGTTGTTATGATTACAACGGGAGACGTTCTAGTTGAAGAAAACGAAGTGGTTGGCAAAGATGTTGATGTTGTTATTGGAGAAGCTGTTGCTGTTGAAGTCGATGTTGCAGTTGTTGATGCTGTTGTAGTTGATGATTTTCCAGGTATATCTGCAAAATGTTGGTTATATTAGATGTCAATTTTCAAATAGATGATCTATATTTTATCTTACTTTCCACATTTGTATTTTCTCAAAAAATTGAAAGCTATGTTTAAATATAATGTTTAGACACAGACATAGATAAATAAATAAACATAGATAGCTTATGTACGCAAAATCACCAAGAATTGTACAGTTCGAGAACTCATACTTGTAGGGGTCAAAGTGTGCTTCAATGATAAGCGGGGTGGTTTGGTGCTTTAATGGATTTCATAATAGAGTGTAAAATAACTCCAGGAATGGAACTATTTGAACAACAATATATCATTTTGACGAGAACTGAAGAAGGACATGAGAAGGACTAAACTAACTTAAATTTCTCTCTACAGAACTCATGTATACACCACAAGTACTCAATGACATAAGAACAGCCAATATTCACAACCGACCTAGTTAATCTATATAATAAGAATATCTTCAAAACATCTCTGTACATTTATATCTTTCAAGATGAAAAATGTCGTCTTATGCGCAATCTGTCTTTATCTCTGGAAACAGATTAGACCCAATGATGACCAAATTATTTTTTAAATTAGAAAACTTAAAGTAAAGGTCACTTGAATTTAGCTAACAGTTCCTTTAATTTGTTTATAAAATTATTGTAGAATATCAGGTCTAGAGAATATATGATACAGGAAATATGAATGCAAATTTTAAATTAATTTTTAAATTTCATATTCAAATTTTATACGGAGAAGGTTATAGAATACTAAATATATAACTAAAAATACCAAGAAATAAGAAATAAGAAAGAATAATCGATTTTAAAGTCAAACTAAAGTATTTTTGTTCCTTTAACCATTGATCAAGGATTTTTTTTTAAACACATAATTTTGAAATAAAAGAATTGAATTGAAATGACGAATGTTAAAAAACAATCTTTACACTTCACAAAGGTAGAAAATATTGTGCATTATTAAGTAAGCCAATTTAAAAGGTCAATATTAAAGAAAATTTTATTTTCAAAGGATAAAGCTAGTAGAGAAAAATATCCGCAGCGTAGAAACTTAAAGCTAAATGCGTTAGACAAAATTTCCAACAAAATTTTCGTTGGACGAATTTTTATATATTTTCGACGTAATTTTCTTTAATCTAATAATAAATCTGTTTTCCCATTTAACACCAAGAAGAAAGATAAATATCTCTGATGAATGTCCGGCGAGCCATTCACAATTTTCCGTTAAATAAATTGTATTTTCAACAAAATAACATTATTATGACTCATATTTTCGCAAACGTTTTTTGACCTAAGAGACTTGATTTTTATGTAGCAATATTTCCAACAGAGAAAGCATTCATCTATATACTTTGATTGTCTGCCTGTCTGCTGGTCTGTCCGTTTGTGTCCAATAAATGGCAAATGATCGGGCCCAAATTTTGTGTGAAACCTTACATGATCCCAGGGAAGGTTCCAAAACAATCGTTTTTCTTTTTTTGAAAACAATTTTTTTCTGGAACGATCGCTTTAAAAAGATTGTTTTTTTTTCTTCTTAAAAATTATCAAAACTTAGTTTCATCCCTTTCAAAAAGGATCGTTTAGTTTTCAGATTTTTGTCAATTTTCAACAAAACGAACGTTTTTGAAAAAAGTCAAAAATGCCCATCCCTAAGTAAAGCATGAATGACAGCAACATGCATAATAAAATGAAAAGTTAAAATCTAGAAAAAACCTTCCTAACCTTAATAATCAACATAAAGTTTTCTAAGTAAAAACCTTTATTTTTCAAACTTAGATTATTTGATCGGGAGCTGTCGTTGTGTATTTTTGAAACGAAAAAGGATTTAAAACTTAAAATTGAAACTACTTTTTTTTAAGGTTTGAAACAAGAAATACAAATGAATCGTTTTTGGATCGTTTTCAGCTTTAATCGACTAGAAAACGATGGTTATCCTGGTTTAGATTTATTCCATAAAGAACTATCCCCCCTACCTTCACTTTTGATTCGGGGACTACCTGTAATTCGCTGACTGGGAATCCCACTAATCAAAGACTTTGCCACAAATATTTAGCCTTGTGCTATACTTTCTTTCTTCAACATGCGCGGCGCGTAAACATGGATCCACATCAGGTTAATAGGTTCAATATAGGTTGTATTTTTAAGATTAACTTAAACATGGATCCACATCAGGGTAATAGGTTCAATATAGGTTGTATTTTTGAGATTAACTCAAACATGGATCCACATCAGGGAAATAGGTTCAATTAACTTAAACATGGATCCACATCAGGGAAATAGGTTCAATATAGATTGTATTTTTAAGATTCACTTAATCATGGATCCACATCAGGGAAATAGGTTCAATGTACCTTGTATTTTTGAGGCTAACTTAAACATGGATCCACATCAGGGAAATAGGTTCAATGTAGGTTGTATTTTTAAGATTAACTTAAAAATGGATCCACATCAGGGAAATAGGGTCAATCTAGGTTGTATTTTTAAGATTAACTTAAACATGGATCCACATCAGGGAAATAGGTTCAATGTAGCTTGTATTTTTTAGATTAACTTAAACATAGATCCACATCAGGGAAATAGGTTCAATGTAGGTTGTATTTTTAAGATTAACTTAAACATGGATCCACATCAAGGAAATAGGTTCAATGTAGGTTGTATTTTTAAGATTAACTTAAAAATGGATCCACATCAGGGAAATAGGTTCAATATAGGTTGTATTTTTAAGATTAACTTAAACATGGATCCACATCAGGGAAATAGGTTCAATGTAGGTTGTATTTTTAAGATT